AATTTATAAATCATTAATTAACTATTAAAAAAATTATATGATAATTAATTGTCTTTTTAATAAAATATATTTATTATTAAGTTATTATTTATTAAATCAATATAAAAAATTGGTAGCTTAATAATAAACTAAAAAAAAAATCTTTTAAAAAAATTTTTATTAATATAAAAATTATAATAAATATTTTAAAGTTTTATTAATCCATATTTAATTAATTTATATATTTAAATAACTTTAATAATAATAATTATTATTATTTTATAATTGACAAGAAATTAAAAATTTTAAATTGCTGTCTCTTTTTAATTGTAATTTAATTATATTATTTTAATATATTTAAATAATTTTTTTTTATATATTTACTGTATATTCTTTATATCTCCAAATACATCCATATCTATTTTTATTTTAATTATTTATTAAATTATAAATAAAATATGAGTTTTGATTTTTTCCAATTATTTTTGATTCACACTGTATATATTTCTCAAATAATGGATGGCATATAATATCTCAAATATTAATCCCATAGAAAATATATATAGTATAATTAAAAGAAATGTATAAAGAAGAAAATCATAAGGATTAATATACTTAGAAAATTTTATGATAAAAGAATAGGGTAAAATACTAGAATAAATTATAAAAAATCTAATACTATCTATGCATAAAATATATAAGAAGAATATTGAAAATTATAGGTCACTGCATGTAAATTGTTTGGCAGTATATTATGGAAAAAAAGTTCAATTTGAAAAAAATATCCCGATCGTGAAAGCTATCAGAGGGAAGAAGGAAGATAAAAGAATAATGCATACTGTATTATGGAACCGCCATGTCATTGCTATAAATAAAATCTTTCTCAAAAGGATATTATAACCATATTTTAGTCGAATAGCCATGTTAAAGCTAAAACGTGCTCTGGCTCTAGAACATCTGTTTTGGAGGTGCCAAATTCGGAAGAAAAAGACCCTCTTGTCCAAAAACTTTAATATAAACCGGCTTCTTATTTGCTCTTTACCAAAGAATATCGATATCTTGGAGTATGTTTACAGTTTTTTTCCATCCTTCGTTACTGTTGTTGTAAGAATAGTTGGGAGGTAAACGCAACAATTGAGACGCGTCGCGTAATATTGAGAAATGATGACAGAATGATGTCATAGCCATAGCTGGGTGAACGCGTCAATAAGGCATATAAATAGGATAGTTTACATCAGAGTTGGTCAGTTTAGAACGCTCTCTCGCTTTATTATATGAATGCTATCCCACTTCGCACAGTAACATTTACGTCCCATAAATTATAAACCAAGACTAACGCCACTACATTAAAGTAAACGACTTTAAGGCGACTTTAAGGAAGAAACCAACGTTACCTTTGCACCGTGTAGAGAGAGACACTTGTAATCTTGAGACACGCCTAGAGAGAGGCGGTAAATAAGAGATCAGCAAGTGCAAGAGACCGGCCAAATCGTAACCTGCTTCAGAGTTAAAAAGCCTTACTTTATTTAGTGACAAAATCCGAGCGTTAATATTATCGCCACGCGAAGAGAAGCTGAAGTTAGCGACAGACTCGCGGTGATGACAACACTGCCAAACCATGAGGATATAACTCACATTATTTCCTCTCCTTATCATTCTTTCTCGCACTGACTTGTTCATATTTCTTTGAGGTCATCTTCTACTCTTTTGCATACCACACCTTCATGCATCCTCTTCCATCTTATCACGAAACAATATAGAATCCAGCTTGTCTTTTTTTGTGATAGTCATGAAGACATCTGGTCCTCGTCGAATTCCATTGCTCTTTCTGAGGCGCTCTTCTCGTTGTTGTCTAGCCGGAAATGTAGATTCTTCTTTATTACTAGGTCCAATATATATTTTGAGGCTTATCAGTTCTATTGCTAGCTCAGATGGTTTAAAAATCTTAGAAGTTTTCGGAACTCCTCAACGTTGAGGCGACTGAAGCTTTGGCTTGTTCTGCCACATAATCGAAAAGAGCTTGGGGTTATATTATTCTGTTTATCTGCTTTCTTGTCATTAGGAGGGCACGTAGTTGAGGTGGAAGCATTTTTGGGTAATGATTTCTGGAACATTGAATGTAGGTAGGATCTGTGGCCTCGTTTTTGGATAAGTCAGGTTATCAAACATAAGTCCACCATTCGGGTTCCTATGCTTTCATTTTCTTTAGAACACAGGCGATCGTTGTTTGAATTGTCTTATAATTCTACTAGAAGCTTTTGTTCTCTATCTAAAGCTTTTGCTAATGAGTTTTAATGAGGATTTCCTGTTCCAGATTTTCGTTTTTGATTTGCACGATGACAGAAACATCTCTAGGATTTTTTATTTCGAATAATATATCGTCATCACTAGTGTGTTCCTGGTCAAATAATGGGCAATGTGATGGAGAGACTCGCGGTAATGGAAATTTATCAAAAGTGTTGTCAGAGATTATGCCTTTCGATACTAGCAATGTCTCCACCAGTTCGAATTCGGCCCCAGTTGTAACATTACCCACGTTAGGAAGTCTCAGTTTCTGTCTCTGGAACAGCTAAGAGAGAACTTCTACAACTTTTGATTCATCGTTGGGCGGACAAATCATGAAGTCAAAAGCAGTTCCATCTTTTGAATGAATAACTCTTTCTACGCGAATGTTATATTTCGGTGATCTAAGAATTCAAAAAACTTTTTTTATTTTTTAGGCATATAATTTATGCACATGTCATACACTCATCATATTATGTCCTATAAAGACCATGAAGATAGTATAGAAAAATTCTATTTTTTATTTTTAGAATTTATTACTCTTTTACTAGTAAACTAATTGTCCGGAGCAATGCGAAGGACATAATGTTATGTTCATTATATTCATCCTATGTCCATTATGTTATTATATCCATCCTATGTCCGTTATGTCCATTATATCCTTATATCTGTCTCAAGGGAAATCGCTCCATAAGAGTGTTTTCAATTACAGATAAATCCAGCACACTTACATACGAGTTGGAAAAGTTATTAAACAATGGAAACCTGAAAAGGACAAAATATTAAAAGAATGCATTAAAAGAGACACTTGATATTTGGGTAATTCTTTTTGAAGGCGGACAGGGATTTTTCTGACTTTATAATTGTACTCCTAGAATTTATATTGTATATGTATTGTTCAAAAAATAGTGATCAAAAAATCGTATATAACATTTTTGTTGTTTTCAAAAAGAATCAGCCATTTCTCTAACATAATACTAATAAAATAAATGATGCTTTAATATTATTAATCAGTTGATATTAAATTATTAATAAATAAAGTAATGTTAAAGAATTGAAAATTATATTTAAAAAATTTTTTTTCAGTTACTTTAAAATACATATCAATATGCTCCGGATGCACAGTGATTTCCATTTCTTAGTAAATAAAAAAACTTAATAATTTCAAGATAACAAAACAAGCGTGTCACTGGCTCTGTCAACAATTGGTATACGGAACTAGTGACACTAGTGACAACTGGTAACAAGAAAATTTCATGATGGCAAAAATCCGTCCTAGTTAACATCCTAGTTTCCACATTCGAATATCTTTTGAATTTTCCTTGAACTCGAGAGGGGTATAATTCAGATAATTTCTACCAACACTATTCCATAATTTCTGACCGAACTTGGGATACAATAACTTGAACTGACGAATTACTACGAATCACATGTCCAAAATTTACTACACCAGCTGGCATCATTTTTTTTTCTGACATTTAAAATGAAATAAAAGACAGCTTCTTAGTAATGAGGAGGATATTTATGCAAAATTAATTACTGATTATGTCATTAACAAAAAATTTTATAATTAGTTTATTTACAGTATACTGTATATCGTATAACAAAAATTTCTATAACATTTATTATTTTATTTTTTTATTATCATTTAACTAAAGAATAATGTGATTGATACAAAACTTTAGATATACATTAATAGTAGAAAAATTGATAATAAATTATAAAATATATATTTTATTCAATTTTTATTTTTTATTTTTTTTTTCATAATCAAACAAGTATTTGTGTTTATTTAATTATGGGAGTTGAAAACATACAAGTACAGAACTTTTATACATAAACTAAGCTAATATTTGAATACCCATCTCTGATTATTAATCTCTAAGTATGATCTTGGAGATGAATAAAGTCACTCATTCATCTTTTCCATTCCTAAAAGAATTTAAGTTCATTGCCTACAGTTTATCACTATAGTTATTCAATTTTTATTATAATTTATTATTTATTTATTATTATTATTTAAGAATAAATTATAAGTAAAGATCTATGGATCTATAGTACAGTGGTTAGTGTTTTACAAGCTAGATCACAAGATATCAGTTTAACTTCAGGTGAAAGTAGTTGAATAAAATTAATATAATATCTGATACCATAACTTGTTAAGTGTTGTTTTTTATAAGAAGCTGTTTCACATGCTGATTGTAATCTCCAAAACAGATATCATAGCATGACAATCACCTGGCTAGTGTTATGGTGATTGTTAGAAGTATACCTATAGTGATTAGACAATATGATAAGCTAAGGGGTATGTATCTAACTTCCTTAATTAAGATTCTTCTTGTATTTGAATATACAGACTGGACTGTATTTCATCCTAATTAAATTCAATCAATACTTTTTCTTTTCCTTCTGCTGACAATTTAATAAAAAAGTTTTGAAGAAATACATCATATCAATGCTAATATATAGTTATTTTTATGATATTTGATATTTTCATAGTATATAGAAGTTGCATCCTACTTGATATTTGTATTTTAGATTTGGCAGCCAAAACCAACTTGATTCTAGTAATATGAAGTGTCTACTAGAAAAATAAGAACTAGTTCTTAAGAAGTCACATTCCACTTGGTTATATAACTTCTAGATTTGATAACTGCATTACCAAATAATGGATCAGAGTCAAAAACATTTATTAGAAAATACATATACAGGTCAAAGACCTTTTAAAACCATAACTTCATAAACAATAAGATAAGACATGATAAATAATCTATATAAAAGAATTAGTAGTTGACCATACATTGTTTTTACAAGAAAATTGGACCAGTATATACATGTTGCTGAAATTCGTAGATCCTTGATGCAATTGACACAATTATTTGATGCAATTAATTAAGTTACTATTAAAACATATAAATAATTGAGTCATGGCACAATTATTTTTGAGGATTTTGGGAATTGAGTCAATAGCAAAATAATTTATGTCACATGTATATCTATACCCAAAAATCTTCAGAGATCTTTACTAAAAAATTTCCTGATAATATATATACTATAAATACAAATTAAGCATGTAATTGAATAAAAATTGAGAAATATAATTGGATATAATCAAGTTATATATTAAAAATTTTTTTATTAATTTTTTTTTTACTATTTACCACTTTGCTATTAACAAGATATAGATATAAGCAACATATAGCCAATATACTGTATGACCTTGGCTATAATTAGTAGTGCTACTCAAACATTCCAGATCCCACTTTTCATTTGGTTCACGTCAAATTTGATAACAAGAGGTCTGAAAAAGACGAATTGTGATTTCATCAGATCACAAGATATACTTGAACTTTCGAACAGTTCAACCTTTATAAGAATGGGCCCAATTGAGTCTTTTTTCGATATTGATAGGAGAAACAAATGGCTTATGTAAAGCATGATGAATGGTACTTTCAAAAACTTTTTTTTTTATGTGTTGTAAAGAGGGTAGTGATCTGGAAGAGAGTTAATCGACGATTTCTTTGAACTAACCTTTTTAGTTTTTTACAATCAGTGGAGGTGAGAAAACTTGGACGTCCAGGACGTTTTTTTTTTTTTCTTGCGCAAATTCATCTGACTTACAAAACTCGTTTATTATATTCCAGGCAGCAGTCTTTCCACAGCCTACAAGGGTTGCAATCTGGCATATTGAATCTCCTCTTAGGTACCTATAAATGACAAAACTTCTTTATTCCTCTATCAAATTCTTTTTGCTACCTATTTTAAAGGGAAAAAAACCAGTTGTTTTTTTTTACAGTGATCTATGGTACACAAACCTTGTTTAAAATTTTGTGTAATATTGTTCACATGTTGTGTAACATTCGATGAAAATTTTAAGTAAAAATTTTAAGCGAAAAAAAAATGGATTTTTGAGGAATTTTTTTTTTTAAAAAAAAAACTGGATTTTTGCTTTCAATCTTATACAAAAAA